TTTAGCTAAAGTCCACACAGCATACTTATAGAATGACAATCACTTTATGTAACACCCTCACCTCAGAATCAGCCCCTAAGGCCTCCTGGTCTGGCTGAAAAGCCAGTGAGAGCATTTCAGGCATGGAAAGCCAAGACACTGTGGCAAAAAATGTTCTACATGAAGGATCTCTGTGGGTGAGACCCCAGTGGAAAGAAGTGCCATCAAGGAAGGATATACTTTTTTCTAAAGGGAGGAGAGAACTTCCACTTAGCTTATGGCTTTGTCCAAATAATGACAGAGTTTGTGGACTCAAAAGGCTTCCATTGCCTAGGCAGCGCATTTCAAGAGCCTCAGGTGATAACTGACGTCATATGTAAGAGTGTTAATTGTTAAATTAACAACAAGAGTCACTGGGTGCTAACTCCCCATGAAGGACCTCTGTCCTCAATGAGTTGTATTGAGAGTTAACTGTAAAACCAATTCTCAAACATTTTCTGTGTGTGTGCACGCAAATTGTTGAAATCTTTACTTAGTATAGAGTTGGTCTTCTGTGTGTGTGCAAAGTTAACTGAAAATGAATCTTAATGGAGAATGGGACTGGCAAGGGGAGAGGGAGGAGGAGGAGGAATTGCAGTGTCGGTGGGAGGGCGGGTATGGTGGGAAGAATCACTATATTCCTAAAGCTATACTTACGAAATTTGTATTCCTTAAAAAATAAATTAAAAAATACTGAGCTGAGTCTGGCTGAGTAGACTGGTTTGCAAACAAGACCATGACAATCACAGCATTCTCTAGCACCTCTGGTTGCACCTGTGCTCCTATAGCCTCGCGTCCCAGCTCTGGCCTCCCATTCCCTCTCCAGATTCAATTCACAGGTGGAAGCCAACAGCAAAGATGACATAGGTGACAGGAAGCAGGCAATCAAGATGGCTGGAAACCCTGCTCTGACTCTTCTTCCAGAAAAACAGCACAGACTTAGTGCTAGATACTGCTGGGGAGAGTAAAGGGGTTGCCAGGGGAATCATCTGGGGTGCTTTGGAGAGAAATAGCATTTGGGCTACTAAGACTCTTGGAACGTGATATTTTCTGGTTGGAAGACTCTTGTCCTTGGAGAAGCCAAGAGATGCTGGAGTAGAATCTCAAAACACAAACAATGCCATGGCTGAGAAAGAAATTCTAAGGTCAATCCCATTCATAACTGCAAAAAAAAAATCAAATACCTTGGGATAAATTTAAGCAAGGACATCAAAGATCTCTGAGATGAGAATTACAAAACAGTAAAGAAATAAATAGAAGATGACATAACAAAATGGAAAAATCTTCCATGTTCATGGATTGAAAGAATCAACATCATCAAAATGTCCATACGACTGAAAGCAATTTACAGATTCAGTGAGATACCAAACAAAATACCAAGGACATTCTTCTAAGATAGAGGAAAAAATGATACTGAAATTCATATGGAAACACTAGAGACCCCGAATAGCTAACGCAATCTTATACAATAAAAACAAAGCCAGAGGTATCATAATACCAGATTTCAAAATATACTACAGGGTGGTTATAATCAAAACAGCCTGGGACTGGCACAAAAACAGACTTTAGACCAATGGAACAGAATAAAAACTCCAGAAATCAAGCCACACATCTACAACCAACTTATCTTTGACAAAGCATCGGGTTACCCCTCTTTTCAGAGCTATCCAAGGTCACACAGTTCTAAGGGGAAGAACCAGAGTCATTGCCTCACTCCAAAGTCCATGTTCTTTCTCTTATCACTGTTCCTAAAACAGAAAGAAGTACTTGGAGGTGGTGCCCTCAACTGTCCCCTACCAGAAGACAGAACCCTCGAATGCTTAACCCACCTTGACAGTGGACCCGACACTTTCCCACTGTCCTTTCCAGCCACCAGCATGACCTGCGTGGTAGAATGCACTGCCCAGCTGCGTTCATATGCATTCTGTGTGCATGCAGACACGCAGGTGCACCAGCAGAAACACAAAGTCATCTTGTGTATACTGAGGCACCTTAACCATCCTCTCCCTTACCCCTTTTGGAGACCAAATACCAATCCCCTCAAAGCTTGCTTCCAAAGGGTTCATTCACACTCACCATCCACTCGTGGCCAAGTTCATGGCACAGATCTGCAGGTGATTAAGAATATGGACAGTCTTCCCTGAATCACCCCATGTGCCTTCCTCGGTCAGGTGTCATGTGCCTGCAAAGTCTGGGATCTTAAGAATGATATGGAACAAAGTAGAGGCAGGTGCCTCCACAGATGGAGGTGCCCAGTGAACAACAGAGAAGTAGCGAAACTTGTCCAAGTCACACAGCAACTGAGAGGCATCACCAAGACCCTGCTCTCCCAACTATAGCACTCTCTCTCTTTCCCTCCCTGCACCCCACCCTTTCCTTCTTTTTCCACCCCTCTTTCTGTCCTCTTTGTTATGCATATTTTTCCTTGTCCTTGCCTAACCATAATTCCTTTGAGGAAAATGCCAGGCAATGCAAAAATCCAGTTCTAAAGTTATAAAAGGAATACAAATTCAAACTATTCCCATATGAGTTAAAAATTCCAATATGAGTTAAAAATAACACTGTCAATAGCTAATGCTGACTTTCATTTTCCAATCCAACATCTATTGATGTAATAAATGAATTTTTTGAAGCCTCCCTGGGGTAGCTATTCCCTGGTTTAATGAAGGTGATGGGGAAACATTACTCTAAATATTCTAAATACATTCCTTAAACCAGCTCCCCACTTTTGTATGGAATCCAAATTTCCATTTGGCCAAACTGAAAAAGACAAGACTTCCTTTGTTGTTTTTTTTTGTGTCATTCAATGTTTCATTAGTTATCAAATGTTCTATTAGTTCCTCAGCCAACCTGAACCTTTAGTGTTTCCCAATGCATTAGAGTCACCTGTAAATCATATTCTGACTCCTAATTTCCTTAGTTACGTGCCAATTAATACCAACTGAAATGAGCATTTCTGATCCAATTAGGTTGAGGAAACCTGCGTGAACATATGTTTTGTTTTTTGTATATCTCTATAATTTATTATTTCAGATACATATACACATATATGCATGTGTGTTATGAAGCATAATAAAATAAATACTGCAAGTTTACATCCATAAGGAGAAAAAAACAACCATTACCTTGCCACTGAAACTTTCCAAGATGTAGCTAACATTTTTAATTTTCTATTTATTATCTGTTTCCCTTTAATATTTAACAGAACTATGCTTTTTCATTTTTCTTGATTTTAGCACCTACTCAATAAAGGAAGCTGGAGCCCTCATGATGGACGTCACTCCCAGCTGTCACCCGGACAGGGCCATCCTCGGTACAGTTCCCAGGAACTGACACATGGACACAGGGGAAGAAACTCTCTGTTGAGTGACATGGCCAGGTCAGCAACGATCCACCCTGGATACACAGAGGAAATGGAAATCTAAAGAAAAGAACATGGTCAAAGCAGAAGCAGCAAAACAAGAGACAGAGAAGATCAAGACTCCTGATGACATTGTTTGAGCTCCTGGATCTCACTATGCCTGAAACAGACTTGACTTCCAAGCAAGATGAGCCAATATGTTTTTGCGTTTTGCTTAAGTCAAATTTGAAGCTAAAAATGTTTCATTGGGCCGGCGCCGTGGCTCAATAGGCTAATCCTCCACCTTGCGGCGCCGGCACACCGGGTTCTAGTCCCGGTTGGGGCGCCGGATTCTGTCCCGGTCGCCCCTCTTCCAGGCCAGCTCTCTGCTATGGCCAGGGAGTGCAGTGGAGGATGGCCCAGGTGCTTGGGCCCTGCACCCCATGGGAGACCAGGAAAAGCACCTGGCTCCTGGCTCCTGCCAGAATCAGCGCGGTGACTCGGCTGCAGCGCGGCCATTGGAAGGGTGAACCAACGGCAAAAGGAAGACCTTTCTCTCTGTCTCTCTCTCTCACTATCCACTCTGCCTGTCAAAAAAAAAAAAAAAAAAAAAAAAAAAAAAAAAAAAAATAAAAATGTTTCATTGCTTTGAGCCTAGATACTGAAGCAAATCATTGGAATGAAGTTTATAAGAACAACCACAATTGTACAGTATTTTATAGTCTATAAAGAACTCTTACATGCATCATTTAAATTGAATATCCTTGTGATTCTATAGGTAGAGGAGATGGGTATATTATTATTGTGCACAGTTAACAAACACATTTGGAGGTTTCAATCTTACACCTGGAACTTCTACTCTTTAATCATTATCCATTTGCAATAACCCAGAATTACTCAGATAAATTAAAGAGTAGCAAATTCACTTCACAATTACTGAAAGGAGAAAGTGCAGGAGATGGGATAAGGGAGTGAATGAACTTTATAGGGTCCAATAATAAGCCAACTTCTCATCTAACTGAGTATTTTTTTAAAGATTTCATTTATTTATTTGAGACGTAGAGTTACAGACAGTGAGAGGGAGAGACAGAGAGAAAGGTCTTCCTTCCGTCAGTTCACTCCCCAAATGGCCGCAACAGCCAGAGCTGTGCCGATCCAAAGCCAGGAGGCAGGTGCTTCTTCCTGGTCTCCTATGTGGGTAGAGGGGCCAAAGCACTTGGGCCATTCTCCACTGCCCTCCTGGGCCACAGCAGAGAGCTGGACTGGAAGAGGAGCAGCCAGGACTAGAACCAGCGCCTATATGGGATGCCAGCGCCACAGGCGGAGGATTAACCTACTGCACCAGGACATCTAACCAAGTATTTGATGCAACTTTTTTTCTTCATGTCCGTCTCCTGGAAAACTTTGGAAAAAGTAAACTAGTTGGCTCCTGGACTTGAAAAAGAAAAATACTTCCAACTGCTTTTTTATCTACTTGGATGATCAACTTCCAAGAATACTGCAGAAATCATCATTATCAACCAGACTGTGAACTCCTCGTGGAAGAAATACATGCTATGTGCATAATGGCTTCTGAAAGCAGCACCGCTGATTACCAAGAATAGGCCCAGTGAGGGAGAACAGAAGACAAGGAGCCCATAGCCACAGGCAATATTCCCCAGCAGTGGACAGAGCAGCCTTCATTTCGAAGGAGAAGAACCTTACCAGATTTCAGGATTACGTGCCCAGAGAGCTAAAAAATATGTGACATTCACCTGGGAGGAGAGAATGAATCTGAACCTTTGCCACGAACACTGAAAGGTTTTTAATCAAAGAAGCAGCATTTTAAAGTAGGCAAAGGAAAAGGAAAAAGCTAGACAAAGAGAAGAGAGACAGGTGACTAATAAAGAAGCAGATCTAACCTGGATAGGACGGTGTTTCCTGAGCCACACGTGACCAATGATTTCAGTAACTTCTTCATGAAGAAGGGTCGTCCATAATACAGGCACTGAATGCATTTATCGTTGTTCAATTTTATTTCCAGAAAACCATGTATTCATTGTCACTTTACCCTTGGGCTGAATCTTTCAGCTCCAGGTTAGATGGCCCCTGGAGATTTTTCTATAGTTTGATCTCTGGGCCCAGTGGACTCCAAAGAATCATTGCTGTCAGAATTCTGGTGACCAGAAAAGTGAGCAAGAAAGATTGCCATCAATTTGCATCTGATCTTTTGCCCAAGTTGGCTCCCCTGTGGTGAGTCATGTTCGGTGAGATCACTACAGTTACCTGACAAAGCAAAGGAGCAATAAAATAACCCACCTACTCTACAGTGCAAAGGCAGTGATGGGCATCCAAAGAGGATTGAAGTGGAGGAGAGTTAAACCGCTCAGGATTCAGTGGAGCCATGATACTCATTCCAGGGAGCCTCCAAAGGGCTTGTGTCCTGTTTCATCATAGCAGTGCATATCCAACATTCATCGTGTTTATTATTTTATGTGCAGCCATATCTAACAGTGTGGAACATAGGACAAGTGCATCCGTAGAGAATTTTATGTTGAAGGTATTCATAAGCATGGCAGGGACTTCACACTGACGTCCAGTAATCATTCCCCCCTTCCTCTGCGCTAATAGAACTCAAACAAAAGACTACACTTCCCAGCCTCCCTTCAGAGAGGGATGGTCATGTGACTAAGTCCTAGCCAATGAGTGGTGAACAGAAGTGCTGTGTGATTCCTCCAGGAAGTCTCATTAGAAGGGAATTCTTTGGATTTCTCTTCCTTCCTACAGCTCTTCTATCACATGATGTGATATGCCCAGATAATGTTATGATATGATATGTTATACCAGATTCAGCAGAACTCAGCTTCCATCTTTGATAGAGGACCATGAGGGCCATGGTCCAGCGAGTGCAAACCAGAGAGATGGAAGAAATACCAGTAGCTGAAATGGTGTGTGGCTACACATCCTCCTGGATTAAGCCTCTGAATTTCATTGCAAGGGACACAAATAATTTTCTAACTTTATACATGCAGCTTATCATGATCACAATTTATTCAAGGAGTTGAAAGTACACACAGGCATTAAAGTAGGGAGAAGAAATAGAATTAAAAACTGAGTTGTAATTGGTTAAGAACGTTGCTCCCACTCCCTTTTGTCTGTACATACAATGAGCCATCAATGACAAATGAAGACCAGAGTCCAGGAGTGTCTAAACCAGAGATGTTTGACTTCATGTAGCAACAATTGCAAGAGGAGCCAAAACCATACCTCATCTTTCAAATGTTGACACTTTTTCTTCATCTTCATGGTCCTAGCAGAAGCAGAAAACATACAGAAAGTGACTTGTTATTGTTTGCTGTGACTACACAGCTCCATTTGCTTTTTTTTTTTTTTTTTTTTTTTTTTGACAGGCAGAGTGGACAGTGAGAGAGAGAAACAGAGAGAGAGGTCTTCTTTTGCCATTCGTTCACGCTCCAACAGTCGCCGTGGCCAGTGCGCTGCAGCCGGCGCACGGCGCTAATCCGAAGGCACCCATGTGGGTGCAGTGCCCAAGGACGTGGGCCATCCTCCACTGCACTCCCTGGCCACAGCAGAGAGCTGGCCTGGAAGAGGGGCAACCGGGACAGAATCCGGAGCCCCGACTGGGACTAGAACCTGGTGTGCCGGCGCCACAAGCAGAGGATTAGCCTATTGAGCTGCGGTGCCGGCCTCCAGTTGCTTTTAAGGCCATTCATTTACTCATCCTCTGTTACCAAAGGGTGATTTCAGGTTTGTAGTCTTAGCCATGGCAATAAATATCTAACATTTCTTAAACCCAAAACTTATTACAAAGCCACAGTATCCAAAAGAGTGTGGTATTAGCATAAATTCAGATTATGCAGACCCGTGGAATTGAACAGAGAGATCTTTGTATATACAGTCGAATAATTTTTGGACAAGGGTGCCAAGACCATTCAACAGGAAAAGGGCAGTCTTTTCAACAAATCAGCCCGGGAAAAATGGACATACACATGGAAAAGAGAGGCCTTGGCCTCCCAGCAAATATCAGACACAAGTTAACTCAATGGACCTTAGTGTGTGAGCTAAAAACATGAAACTATTAGAAGAGAGCACATGAGGAAAGACTTACGGCATTGGGATTGCTGACGATTTCTTGGATATGACACCAAAATCATAGGTCTCAAAATATAAATAAGTAAATGAGTTGGGGCTGCATCAAAATTAAAATTTTGTATGCATCACACAACACTCACTAAAATGCAAAAGTAACCCATCAAATGAGAGAAAATATTTGCAAAGTATATATATACATATATGATAAGGAATTGATATGCATAATAAAAATTACTAAAACTAAAAATAAACACCCCATCAACTTGATTTTAAAATAGGAAAGGACTTAAGTAGATATTTCTATAAAGAAGATACACAAATGTCAAATAAACATAGGCATGGATGCTCAGCATTCCCAGAGAATGGAAATCAAAACCATATAGAGCCCCAGTAGGATGGTAATTATCAGAAAGGCAGAAAAATAAGTGTTAGAGAGGATGGAGAGAAACTGGAACAACTGTGAACCACTGGTGGGGATAATGAATGGTACAGCCAATGTGGAAAACACTATGAAAATGCCTCAAAAAATTAAAGATACAATTACCAAAAAAATTTTAAAAAGATAAAATGACCAAATAATCCAGAAACTCCTCTTCTGGAATATGCCCCCCCCCAAAACCTAAGATCTCAGTGGATATCTGTATCAGTGACAATAACCCAGAGGTAGCAGCAATGCACATTGGGGAAATGGATTTTTTAAGCGGCACCTACTGCAATGCAATATTATTCTGTCTTTAAAAAGATTGGAATTCTGCAACACGCTATAGCATAGATGAACATTGAAGACATTGTGTAAGTTAAATAAGATAGTCTCAAAAGGACAAGTACCTTATGTGAGATATGAGAGTAGTCAACTTCATAAGAACCAAAATAAAATGGTGCCTGGCACAAACTGGGCAAGGAACAGCAAGAATAAGGACTTAGTGCTTAACAGGTAGAGCATCTCAACTGGTAAAGATAAACAAGTTCTGGAAGTGGATGATGGTGATCACTGAACAGCAATGAAAATGTACTTACTGATACACAATATTGTTTTTTTATTTTTTTATTTGAGAAGTAGAGTTACAGACAGTGATAGGGAGAGACAGAGAGAAAGGTCTTCCTTCCGTTGGGTCACTCCCCAAATGGCCACTACAGCTGGAGCTGTGCCAATCCAAAGCCAGGAGACAGGTGCTTCTTCCTGGTCTCCCATGGGGTGCAGGGCCCAAGCACTTGGGCCATTCTCCACTGCCCTCCCAGGCCACAGCAGAGAGCTGGACTGGAAGAGGAGCAGCCAGGACTAGAACCAGCACCCATATGGGATGCCAGTGCCACAGGCGGAGGATTAACCTACTGTGCCATGCACCAGCCCCTACAATATTGTTTTTAAATCCATTCACTCAAGTGTACGTGGACATCTGGGTTATGTCCACATTTTGGCTATTTTATCAGTGACACTGCTATTAACATATAAAAATCGTAACTTTTGTCTAAATGTACATTAAACATATCAAATCGTAGTAAACTTAATAATGTCTTCTAAAAGATGTCTGCACCTAATCCCTGGAAATTGTCATGGTATTATAAGAAAAGGAACTTTGCAGATGTAATAATGTAAAATGCAGAGATTGTCCTGAATGATCCATGTGTGTCCACTGTAGTCACAGGGCCCTACAAGGGAGAGGGGAGAATCAGAGTCTCCCCCACAAGGGAGAGGGAAGAATGGACATTAAAGATTTGTGTGGACACAAGGAAGGGCCCACAAGTCAAGGAACACAGGACTGGCAGGCCCCAAAAGCAGAGAAGAGGAACATATTATCCTCTGAAGACTCCAAAGAGAACAGCCTCACACAAATCTTAGCTTTAGGCTTCTGACCTTCAGAGTGGTAAGAAAATACCTCTGTGTTGTTGGGGCCATTAGGTTTGCTGTCCTTTGTTACATCAACAGTAGGAAACCAATAGGAAAATGAAATGGCCCCTGCCTTTCAAACACCTTCAGACACTCACCCCCTGGTTTCACCAGCAGACAATGAAATAGCAGGGCTCCAATTTTATTGACAGCCAAGCTAAACTTGTTTAAAGTAATTGACCGTTAGTTCTCTTCCCATATAACTATTGCACCATGCTCAAACAGTGCTGGTTTTTTACCCCTCTTAGATTTTCTCAATCCATCTTGACCAAAGACACACACACTTTTGTGTGCTCTTTTGAGAGTTTTGAACTCCTAAATTCTTATTGCATCAGTTGCTATCTCTCCATCTCCATCATCATTACTCTAGTCCGAATTACAATCACCTCTTAGAATACACTATAATGCTATAAAAACATTCTCATTCTTTTCCTCATATCCTCTCCAGCCACCACTAGCCCCTACTCCATTTAGCCTCAGAATTCATCCGCCTTGAGAAAAAAAAATCTAGCTGGATCCTCAAGGCCTCCCCAGTCTCTTCCAGAATCTCCTCTGGTTTCTCTTTTCCCTGTTTGCAGCCTGCCCCTAGTGCGAATCCTGGGTAAATAGCCTCTTGCTTACATCTAGAGCCAGCGATGCACCTGGTGGAAAAGAAGCTGCAGAAGGGAGGGTTAGCCACGCTCCGACTTCGTCCCTGAGCAGCTCGCTGCTGCTTCAAGCTGATGATTTCTACGTTTCAATCAGGTGATGTGGTCTGAATGTTCATCTCCTCTAGTTACGGAGCTGATGGCAGGGACCCCTTGTGGATATGATTAAGTCATGGAGCTTCTGCCACATAAATGAAACGAATCCTTGATAAAGAGAGAGCTGGACACCTGTTCCACCATGTGAGGACGCATCAAGAAAGTGTTGTCTGCGAGACAGCAGGCCCTCAGCAGGCTGCGACCCAACTTGATCTTGGACTTGTCAGCTTCCAGAACCATGAGAAATAAAATTCTGTGACATACAAGGTTCCGGTTTGGTGTCATGTGACAACAGCTCCATTGCTGGCTTTTCCTTCTTGTCCGCTGTAGCAGCACTATCTGCCACCAGCTATCCCATTCCTGGAGAAAGTACTGGTCTCTCAAGGCAACCTTTGTTAATTCACATATCTACAAATCTAACTATTCCTCTGCTCAAACTCCCAAGTGCCTCCCACTATCCTACAGTAAAACACAATCACCAGCCTACTAAAGCTGCCAGTGTCTGCTGGTTCTCCGATGCAATTTTGCTTTCCCCGCACTCACCGTACCTGCCGCAGTGCTGCCAGGCTGGTCTGTACTCTGCTTCTCTCACTCAGGACTTGGCACACGTGCTAGTCCTACCCTTGGTTGTGTTGGCCAAAAAGCTTCCAAGCTAGTAGGTCTACTCTAGTTGGTCCTGTGGTTTGGAGCATCCCTTTATTTCCTATCTGCACAGGTTCAGAAACTGGTTTAATCTCTTTGAGCCCCATGCCCACCTCTGAAAATAGGGAAAGCAACCAAAGCTTTCGGTGAGGACTAAATTAGGGAGTGTGATTTTTAAATTTCTGCCTTTACACAATGTGGCTTTCTCTCTGCTTAAGCCAATCAGCCAAGAAGGTACATTGGCATTAGTGAGCTGGCTCTCATTTCTAGGCGATGTTCTGTTTTCCTGTCCCACTCCTCCTAAGCAGTCAGGTATGTTTGGAGGCACTGCTGTGACTCATGAACCATCAGCAAGAACCATCCCCTCTCTCCAGGCCACGGACACATTCCTGTTTCAAGGCACTCTTTCTTGAGGAAAGCAGAAAAACTCCGGAGGAGTGAGAATGTCTCATGTTTTTAAAACATTCAGATCCTTAACAAACTGGAGTCTGCCTCTAATTGCTTTCCCTTCTGCGTTGTGTCCACTGTGTGATTCTACTGTTTGAACACCGCTTCCGATGACATTGTGCCAGCAAAAAGACACTGCATCTTCAGATCCTTTTATTCCAGCTGTGAACTTTAGAGTTAATCCTCCAGGGCACTCTTGTCGGGGAAGGTTTAATTTATATTAAATTTTCTAAAAGGAAAGGCAGAATGGTCAAAGCAAGACAGTGAGACAGACAAGAGTCGGTCTCTCATAAATTACTAAGCATTGCTGACCGCCTTTCTCGACCCTCTAAACTCTGTGAAATTAATATAAGTAGACAACTAAGGCCCGTCTGGCCCCCTCCCAGAGCCTTGCAAGTTCACTTAGGCAGTCCAAGTTTCCTGAAAGTTTTATAAGCCAGCTCTCAGAGAAGATCCTTTGCACTTATGACTGGTGACAGTGAGCATCAGCAGCCAATGAACCTTACTGACTTACAACCCCAATATGGTCGAGCACCGTTATCAAGGGAAATATCAGAATCAATGCTTGTATATTACACTGAGGTCCTGACTTCTGAAAAAGCCCCCTGCAGACCCTTCAGAACGTGTCAGTGAAATAAACAGCTGATACTCCCAGACAGTCTGCCAACAAGGGGCAGAGATCGCTGTTCATTTAACCACTTTTTAACCACCCCTCCCCTTCCACGGGGCCCTTGCTTCCAAAAGGGAGAAAAAGAAAAAAGCTTCCACACTCCAGTTCCCTTGCAACGGAACCGTGTTCACGTCTCCTCTGGGAGGTAGCAGTGTGGGTGGCTGTGCCCATCGTGCCATCTTCCTGCATGACTAATGAGCTTGCATCATCGCACAGCGACAGACAGGGCACAGGTGCCACGCCTTCTCTGCCGCAGCTCCCCAACGCGAGCTTTCACTGACAGCCAGCAGGCAGATCCGGAGGACGCTCTGCTTGGAAACACCCTGTTCTTGCTGAACGTAATCATGCCACAGCTTCGCTAGCAACCTCTCGTACATATACAGTCAGCAATTCCATGCATGAACTTTTAGGTAACTTATAAAACTTATAAAAGACTTACAAAACTGTTCATTTCTGTCATGCTTGGGATTTTTATTACTTAGATGCTCCACCACACATAGAGGGAAAAATCTGTTATCATTGTGGTCAGTGGAGCAGGTTCTTTTTCCCTTTTTCTTTAAGGAATACATTTAAGTAGGGAAGGAGCACATGGAGTATTGGTGGTAGAGGGAAGGGACCTCGAGAGTTTTAATTGCTTATTTATTTATTTTCTTTATTTTTTATTTATTTATTTTATATTTCTGCTAAGGATCCTCAGCAGAGGATCAAAATGACCAGCCCCACCCCTGCCCCTATGAGTTCAATAATCATCTTATTTTGGGCAAAAGGGTGATTCATATCAACTTAACTTTTTTATTGGGGAGCAGGCACTATTGGGTTCTTCACAAAGGAACTTGTTTCAAGCAGTTCCATGGCTGATTTGCCTTCAGAATCCGCTAGAGAAATTATGCCCTTCAGATGCCCAATGGTTGCACCTGAGAGTGGCAATGGATGCACCTCAGGACTGCGAAGGGCGCGTGTCCTGCTCCAAGGCCCAGGGTAACAGAAGGTGAACCTCAGGGCAGCCCAAGGGTCAAACTGGGAGAGCATCAGTGGTGAAGCCTCAGAAGGTGCTAAAGCCAGATACAGCTGATAGAGAGAAGAGAAGGACCCAGAGCAAAGCAGAAGGTCCTCCGTGGTCTCCAAAGTCACAGAAGTTATTCTACCAACAGCCAGATCATTGCTACGTTGGATAGAGAATCAGACCAGGGGAGCCACAGGTACAGCCAACAGGTAACATAAAGTCTGGTACTGTGCATTCTACATGCATGAATTCAATCAACTGTGGACAGAAGGTACTCAGAAAACATAATGAAAACAATTAAAACCTATAAGAAAACAGCACAGGGAAGGGTGTTTGGTCGAGAGGTTAACATACCAGCTAAGAAGCCCGCATCCCACAATGATGGAGTGCCTGTGTTTGATACTTGGCTCCAGCTTCTGATTCCAACTTCTCACCAGTGCAGACTCTGGGAGGCAGTCGTGATGGCTTAAATGAGTGGGTTCCTGCTACGCGTGTGGGAGATCCGGACTCAGTTCCTGGTTCCTGATGGGCCAGTCTCAGTCATTGTGGACTGGAGTTCTCTCTCTCCATCTCAAAAAATAAATACACGCATGAACCCATCATTTTTAAAATTATATAATAGTAACTATTTACATAGCACTTACATTATATTAGGTATGAGGCTCCTTTGAAAATTTTGTGCAAAAATAGAATTAAAATATGTATATTTTGGTGCAAAACATCTCTTAATCATGCATTGTTTTCATATACATATTTCCCATGAACTTTTCAAAGACCCCTCATATGGTAAACTATCCAGATTGATTTAAAATATACAGGAGGGTGTGAGTAGTTTATATGCAAATTCCACTTTATAGAAGACACTTGAGCACCCTCAGATTCTGATAACCTCAGGGGTCCTGGAGGAGTCACTCCCCAGAGTTTCCAAGTGACAGCTACTAAGGGACCCTTTTTCACTGTTAAAGATACTCCCCAGGAAGGAAGGAACTAAACAATCATCACAAAGGCAGCCTTGCCTCTGCAAAGAAGGCACAGTGGCAGGCGGTGTGACCGAGGCCACTCTAAAACACAATGTGGCTGAACTTTGTACCTCATCCCCCAGCCCAGGGCAATGGCCATAATCCCTGGCTGTACCTGAGGATGACCTGGGGGGCTTCTGAAAAACCCCAGGGCCTGGGGCCTCACCCACACCCAGGGAAACAATATCTCCCTGCGTGGCAGGGCGTGGTGTAGATGGTATGGCGTGGTGTGGCACAGGCACTGGCATCGCTAAAGTCTTCCAGAAGACACTGATATATAACCAAACCTGAGAACCACTGACCCAACAGGATCCTGATCTAAGGGGAAAAGAAGCAAATTAGATTCCAAGTCAACTCCATTAGCATCATGTGAAGCACACCTGGCACATTCCTGAAGCCTTTTGGCTCAACCGCTGTCCAGCTAGTCTGCTTTGCATCAGGAGAGGAAACACATGTGTGAAAGCAAATCCAGCCTGAACGCCCACAACTCCTATGCACTTCAGCACACCCCTCCTGAGAATGGACACTAAAATCACTTGGACCCAGTTGTCTTCTCTTTAACTTATCCAAACGTCCTCAGGGATTTTTTACACTTCCCTACACCCCTGTCCCAACCAAAATCAAGGATCAATCAGCTGATTAAACACCTTCAGTTCTCAACTCTACCCAGCTTCCCTCTGACTGACAAATTCCTATTTGCTCTCCACCAGCAAAGGTCAACCTAGCCAGGACCGTGGCGATAGATCACACTTCCGTAGAAAACCCGCTTTGTGCACAGCTCTGCGTTAAGCACTTTGTGGATCTCACCTCATTCAAAGCTCACAATGACTCATGGAGCTGTTATGCTCAGTGGAGATGTGCGCAGAGCCCCGGATCATAGAGCTAGGAGGTAGTGGGGACAGACTCCTACCCATAAGCCCCCTGCAGGCAGGGCTCCTCACCTTGGTGCTGAATGCCCCCTGAAGACTCACATTGTCTTTCTCCTTTCAACAGCCTGGGAGAGTCATTCCTTCCCAGAGTCCTCTCCTCCTTGCCATCACACGTCAAATGGCACTGCAATATTTTTGTTCAAACAGACATATTCACCACTAGATCATAAACTTCATGGGTAGGCACTTAATTTTATTTGTCTTTGTTTTTTCCCAAAGCCAGCACAGGGTCCATCAGTTCAGCATTTAATAGGGCTTCAGCATCTGCATTAGTGAATGAATGAATAATACGGAACAATTCATTCTGGAGGAGGAGTTTTGTCACTGCTCAGACCTAAGCACTGTATTTATCACAGAAGCTCCTTACTCACTCCCACAGTTCTTCCCTTTCCCTCCTCCCCATTTTGGTAAAATAAAGAATAATGGGTTTTTTCACACAATTCCCCCCCACACACACACACTTGCACTTTTTTTCTGCCTTGATACGATAGTGGATGCCTGCAGAAGCCTCTGGAGTCTAGAAGAACATCAATCACTCTCACAGCTGGAGTCACAGCACTTTCTGTAGAGGAAACGTTGTGCACCAAGCAGAATTGCTTTATCCTCCCCAGGATGGGGAAAGGCACACGCAACAAGGGAAGAAGCTATCAGCCACCACCAGCCTCCCGTGCCCTCACTGGGCTGCGGGAAGGAACGGTGGGCACTGCCTCTTTCCCTATGGCTCCTTCTCAACTTCCCTTTTCCTAAATTCATAGAGGAATAAGGAAGGCATCAGGAAACCAGCTCATAGCAGAACAAGCATTTACTTCCAGTGCTACTCAAACGTGGCTCCTGGACCTGTGTACACAAAATACTTGAATTCAACTGTCAAAATGCAAAAAAGAGAAAGGAAAAAAGGAAGTCGTGGGTATAGATTTTAGCTTCCAAATGACTTAACATCCTACTGAAAAGAAGAACAGCCATGCTTCAAGTGTTCCTTGAAATGAAGAAAGATTCAGAGCACAAGTGTCCAGAGGGAAGTCTGGGCAAGGGGCCAGCGCTGTAGTGTAGCAGGTAAAGCAGCAGCCTACAACACCAGCATTCCAGATGGGCCCCAGTTTGTGTCCCTGCAGCTCCACTTCTGATCCAGCTCTCTGCTATGGCCTGGGAAAAGCAGCAGAAGATGGCCAAGTGCTTGGGCCCCTGACACCCACATTGGAGACCTGGAAGAAGCTCCTGGCTCCTGGCTCCTGGCTTTGGCTTGGTCTGACCCAGACCATCCAGCTATCTGAGGAGTCAACCAGCCGATGGAAGAGATCTCCCTCTGTGTCTCTTCCTCTCTCTGTGTAACTCTGTGTTTCAAACAAATAAAAAAAAAGAAAAAGAAAAGTTTGGACAAACTATCACTTTCAGGCACTCAAATAATCGTTACTAGCTGGGAGCTAATTCTCTATAGACAAAATCTGGTCAGTTCCCAAGATCACAGACCAGAGAAAACAGAGATCCTAGCCAGCCTCCTTGAGCAAAGACAGAATCAAGTAATATGGGCTTGGCATTCCCTCAGCTCAATACTCAGGTGACTGCTCGCCACAGAGAATTCCACAAACAGGAAGAAGCCATGTAGCTGTCACATGTCACCTTCATGAAGCCAAGAGAGGGACTTTTGGTCAGATGAGTCTTGATTCAAACCTCAGTCCCATCTGTACAAGCTAAGACTCAATAGCTGTACATGACTCACAGGAAGAAGTTTGACTGGAACTGGAATGTGTACTTCATTAATTATCTAAAATCAGCTTTCATTACCTTATTGAATGACAGCCCTTAAATCTAAAAGTGATCATAAAAATTTTATACCCATTGGTTTTATCCAATACATGCTGAAAATGTAGCAAGTCCAGAAAATGGTCTGACTACTTTTAAAAGATTAGCATAAGCATTTTATCTGTGTTCTGTTCTTCTGAATTTAACGCTTCCTGAAACAGGCAAAAACACCCTCTTTCCAAAACTCTCAAAACAATTGTGCATAAAACAGAAGAAAACTGAGAGCACTGTGGTTATGACAGCCTGTTTTATCTTTTCACTAAATATCATGGGGTATGAGGTCTGCACCCTAGCCTAGGGTACCACATCAAAGGGAGATTTGGAGACACAACAGGTGTGCCCTCCTATTGGAAAGTGAAAAGGCTACTGTACATCTAGAGCACTTCTCAAAAAGAACCATTTTAGAAAAGCTATAAGCTGACAATTTGGAAATGGATTCCTTTAAACTCTCCATATCTGTGAAATCCCTGGAAAAATCTTCACCTTCCAGGAGTGTGCACAACATACCAACTGAAAGAGATGCTCCTAAGATGTCATGAACCCTCAGCTTTGGCACTTGGCATTCCATCTGCCTGTATAAGAATTTCCCCCACCATGTACTCAGCATATTCACACTGGTCTTTAGTGACACATACTGGTTTAGTGGATGGCCACAGTCTGTCAGTGGCTATCCTTTCCCTATACTCTCCAAGCAATTTTCACCCACATCCACTTTAGCATGGACCTCTTGATAATGTAGCTATTTGTTTTCATGTGTGTTTCCTCCATTGCACACAAAGCTGCAAGGCTGGCCTTTGTCAAGCACAGAGTCTATAACACAACAGACATTCAGCGAAGGGAAAGTGTGTGATGGTCATCCTCTCTAGGGAATCTCATCTACTGCTATGCTGATCTTAGATGTCCCCACCTCTAAATTGTTAGAAATAAAAACCTCTTGCTTTAGCCACCAAGGGTATGGTCCCATGTTATGGGTGTCTTGAGTTTACCGTAAATAATATTGACACATTACTACTGTCTCATCCTCAGTTACCAGTCAATTTTCATCAGTTAAACAAGTACATTCTGATTGAGGTTTCCTTAGAGTATAATAATTTGTTTCTGAATGGTACACCTTGTTTCCCAGTTATGTTTTGCTCACTTTTGTTATGTAGAAAAGTTCTCTAGATTTTTCTTGACATTTGTGATTCTGTTGTATTCGAAAATGACATGCCAATTATTGTCTAGAATGGATCTAATTTGGGTTTGTCTGATGTAGGATCCATAGTTTATACAAATTTAGATCTTACCCTCTAGGATGGTATATGGTATAGAGATTGTGTTCAATAAATGCTAATTGATAGATTAATGATTGAAAGCATATGCTGTGATACTAGACTCTGAATCACCTATCTAATGCTAAGGTCAGCTATTTCAGAAATGTTACATGTTTGTAAACTAGAGGGAGAAACCCTCAAAAACCAGACACTGGTGTTTTCCTGTAGCAGTATTGAGGTCCATTCTTTAATCCATGCAGTGAGTGTACATATGCTAGCCACAGTGTTAAGTTACACTTGCTTTTTTTTTTTTTTATTTTTTGACAGGCAGAGTGGACAGTGAGAGAGAGAGACAGAGAGAAAGGTCTTCCTTTGCTGTTGGTTCACCCTCCAATGGCCGCCTTGGCCAGCGCGCTGCGGCCGGCACACCGCGCTGATCCGATGGCAGGAGCCAGGAGCCAGGTGCTTTTCCTGGTCTCCCATGGGGTGCAGGGCCCAAGCACCTGGGCCATCCTCCACTGCACTCCCTGGCCACAGCAGAGAGCTGGCCTGGAAGAGGGGCAACCGGG